TTTATGAGGCACCTGCAGATGTAGGTTGGTGATACCGATACCCTAGCTGCATTTGTATGCAGATCACAGCACATAATCCAATCTAACCAAAAGCACCTAGTTAGTTTTAAATGCGAAAAGTCTAAGCAAGCCCAAAGAAGCAAAAGGTACTTGAAAAAGCAAAAAAAAAGGAATCGGTTAAGCCGCACATTAAATAAATATGTCAAAGTCACTAGCCCCACGCACGATCCCGAGAAACCACTTGGCAAGCAGCATCTAGAAAAAGCAAGGTGAGATTGACTCGCTTTGTCTCCCGAATGGCGCCCGAATAGAGTTGGGGAGGTCTAGCGTGCAGCATGGAGGTCCCAGCCTTGGTCTCACCTGTGTGACTGACGAGATATACAACCGAGATGATGGCAAGCACCAATCAAATACGACCATTACGCGAATCGCATAAAAACAAAAACAAAAAAACATAAGAAACTTGCTCAGAGAAAGATCGGAGTAAAGAAAGATCAAAGGGTCGGCTAATAATGACTTGCCGATCTCACATATACTTTTTCCAGGATCAGGTAGTCATCAGGCATCTCTCATCACACGACCTGCACGTTCGAGTTCGTTGTACACCGACTTTGAAAGCACTGCCTCGTTCCGGCTGAGTGCAGCAAAAGACCCTCGCCACGTCAGATCCCCAAGCACAGACCTTAGCATCCCTATTATTTTGATCCATTACTATATTGGTGCATATGGTGTTCCCGTGACTGTAACGACATGCGGGCTGCGCCTATTAGTGCCCGACCCGTCTCCATCCTTGCTGATAGACGCGCTCCCGTGTGGGTGGGTTTTATGGCTAATAGAAACCTTGGAATTGTCACGAATACAAGGAAAATTTAAAAAAGAAATTAAGGAATTTTAAATTTTACACTAAATGCAAAGTTGAAACAAGAAAAAGTACAAAATATTATATATTGTAAATAATAATATAAATTTACGTCGCAGTCTGCAAAAAGGCCCGGTCGGAATGGGTCCCCCTAGCGTTGGGCTTTCAGTTTCAACAAGTAGCGCTCAGTCCCTGTCGGAAGGGCTAGTTTTGAGGACAGCTAGCGCGTCTCCAGGACAAACATCATCGAGTGGCCAGCATCTTTGGATCGGGTGGATCTTAGAGAGTCTCCGGAGAGTACGCTAAAGTAAAAGGACAAAGCTGAACAGGCCACGCCTGAAAGTGGGGAACGGAAAGACGCGGACGGCAATGCAGTCGATTGGGTTCGAAAAACGTGGCCTGAAAGGATTGTCGTATCTTGGTACTCCATTTTACGCCGTTTTACTCCGTTTTACCAGAGGGTACTATATTTATGAAAACGGAAGTCTCAACCGAACACTATATATTTCTACCTATTTTTTAGCAGTACTCCTATACTCATATCATGCATATGTAATCATCTAGGATAACTACATAGATATTGCTTGAGATGATAGACCAGACTATACATGTGTTATTGAGAAACAGACAAATACTGTACTGTAACAACGAAGGTATTTTTGCCAGATGGCACACATGCATAGATCGGCGGGAAGGCCGGAGCGGCCCGTGGGACAAGTACCCCGAAACCTGATTGATTAATCATGCGCAATAGTACTCGTATTATTACAATTTACTCGACACACACATATATTATTCAATCCATGGTTACGAGAGTGGGCTTGTTTTCCTTTCTCCGTCGCTCGGACTATCTACTATTATTCATATTATATCTCAACCCCACATTCCCTGTATATTGTAGATTACTTGGACTGAAAACTCACCAGGGATTGGCGGTGACGGGGGGGCGTACGCTAAACAGGCCCCCGTACAACGTGGTTGTGGCTCTTGGACAAGGAACCCGCCCTGTCAGCGAAGCGCTAATGCAGGTTACCTTGGCTCATGATGGGCTTTCCGGATCCAGTGCTACAGCCCTGGGAACTTAGGGCACTCCACCCACTTTCTCCCTCTCTCTCTTTCCCTCCAGAGTCTGGCTCGTTTCAGTCATGAAAGAATGGGATCCGCTCTGGCCACACTTCTTCTTCGCAGAGACTTCGCGCCATACTTCCATACCCAATTTTTATCTTCCTATGGATGCTCCATTCGTATTGAAGAGTGGCGAGTGGTCCGGCTGAACCCCACTCCCTCAGCTGAAGTCTGATCGCCACACTTTCACCGCTTGAATTTTTCTTTCATAGTACCTACATGCAGTAGTTCCACGTACTTTGATAGACTAGGTTAAGGCAAGAAACACCACAATAATATACATAATAATATCACTAAATGGTTGGTTTCGAAAAAAAAAAAAAAAAATACAATTCAGCCAACCTCAATGTGCATGGAATGTGTCGCCCCGACCCGAGCCCATCGCCATGGAAAATGATCCTGGTTCCGCGGGGCCGGTTGCGGTTGTGCGACTACGGTCCGAGGCGGTCGTTCGTCCATGGACGGGTTACGCAGCAAGGGTCACTCGGAGGAATTGACGTGCATGGATTGATCCATGTAAATGAGAGGTCACCTGCCACATTATTGATGATGTCAACTTTGACAGTTGAAATAATCTTTCCGATCATGTCGAGCTTTTTCTATTATTCTATAGGTATATTGTTCGGTAACACTGGAGAGTGGCGAAAACGTGGAAAGTTACTCTCGGGCGCTACTGTTAGTTGAAAAAAAAAAGAAAGAAAGAAAGAAAAGAAAGAAAAATACAAAATAAAACCAGAAAATAAAAGCGGTCGCCGTTCTCGGCTTCATGGCAACGGAAATCTGGTACCCTAGATTGAAATCCATGGTTCAAAGCCTTGTCTCCCATGTTTCGCTTGACGAAATGAAATCGTAAGGTAAGGTCATGCTACTCGATGTATCGATGCATGTCTACATACAAATCTGTTACATACAATCCGTCCACGGGCGTATAGATACACTGTACAGTAATCCCCCCTCCATGTCTATGGGTCACTGGCGCCGCTTTAGCCCGCGCTGCCCGGGCTCCACCCCGTTCTCTAAAAATTCCCCTGTGCTTTTCCAATCAAAAAATTCATTTCCTTTTATTTCCTTTATTCTCTGCCCATTCCGATCTGAGCTTCTTTTTCTTCTTCCCTTCTCTGCTTATCTTGTCGTGGGGTTTTCACTTCCTTATACCTGCTCACGTCATAATCACCGAGGCTCTCTTTTTTTCTGTTTTTTTTTTTTCTTTTTTTTTTCCCGTCTGCTTCCCTATTTCCTATTTCCTTTTTCTGTTTCTGTTCTTTTCGGGATCTTCCTGCATCTGCCCTTCTTCCCCTTCCCCTGCGTGACTGCGCTATGCTCACTTTGTCCGTGTGATTCGATCTCCCTTTTTCAATAACTCGACGTCAGATCCCTGCATCCTTCATCATCCCCTCTTACTCTTCCCCCAGCAATACAAATGTCGGGCAATCCCAACGATCACGACCCTAATCGTCAGGGTGACCCGAATCGCCAGGATCCTCGAGACCCAAGAGATCCTAGAGATTCAAGAGATCCTAGGGACCCTAGAGCCACCCAGTGGAACAATCCGGATGATCAGGCTTCCTACCCAGTATGTGCTGCCTTGGAGCCAGTTCATAGCACTGTGACTTTGTGGTGGCTCCGGTTGCTGATATCTTCATAGTATCCGCCGACTTCCTACCCTCCGCCACCTGACCAGGACCGTGCCTACCAATATCCCCCTCCCGCACAATACGCGTCATCGCAGTATCCCCCTCCTCCGCAGTACGCCCCATCACAATATCCCCCGGCGCAGTATCCAGATCCAAGATATCCGCATCCGCAGGCCATGAACGCTATCCACGGAGCGCAAGATCCCTATCGTCTCCCACCTCCGCCTGGCCCTTATCGCGCCGATGCATATGGACCCCAAGCAGGACAAGGGCCTTACCAGGCAGCAGCTCCGCGACAGCGGACGGCCATTGCATGCCGGTACTGTCGGCGCCGGAAGGTACGGGGGAGATCTCTCCCTATCTACGAGTTACCACACGCTAATTTTTACCCGATAGATTCGTTGCTCGGGATTCGAGACCTCGGCAGATGGACGATGCAGCAACTGCGTTCGGTTCAACCAAGACTGCATGTTCACTCCGGTCTCTTCGCAAACCCAAGCCTTTGTGCCCGCGCACACCGCCTACCCTCATCTACGACCTGGACAGAATGGACCAGGACCAGGGGGCCGTGGTGGACCGCCTGTCCTGTACGGCGCTCACGGACAGCCTCTGCCTCCTCAACAGCAGCCACAGGGCCCCGAGACCACCTTGCCGCCGCCTCAAGGGATGTACTATCAGAACGGACGACCTCCCATGGACGGTGCCCCGCTTCCCCTTGCGTCAACCATGCCCGATCCGGTAAGGCCGACATTCCCCCTCTGGTAAGAGGAGACAGGGAGAGAGATCTAAGCTGATACTTTGATGCGCAGAGACACCGTCGAGGCTCCAACTCGGGATTCGAGTACCCAGATCCAACCAATCTGGCTCCCGTGACGCCCGCTGGGTCTGCTCCAGGATACCAAACTCACACTACGGCCAGCCCTTACGCATATCCCCCTCCGCCTGCCCACGATCGACGCACCTCGCCGCCATCGGCTTATAACTACGATGCACGCCCCTCCTCCTCACCTCACGGCTCGCCCTTCCCACCTATGCAGGCCCACCAGGCGCCTATGACTCCGCACCAGGGCAGCGTGCCCCCGGTTTCGGCTCAGCAGGGCAGCGCATCACTCAAGTCAAGTGGTACCCCTCAGCCAGGGGGTATGACGCCGCCGCCAACCTCTACTCCCGGTGGCTCGCAACGAGGTGGATTGAACGTGCGCGATATGCTGAACCCCGGTGATTCCCAAGGCCGCTCTAGCACCGATAGCGACATGCTCAATGCGTTGAATCGCCGAGGCCCGCAATAGTAATTTCTATGTTGCTATTCGATATCCTAGTGGAAACTAGGAGGCGCATGAAGAATGCGATGCGGGACCGGTGAGGAATGAGTACCATTCGGAATGGACCGTGTGCTGGCCACACGATTCGAGAGCCATGTGTCGGGTGCTGGAATTTGGAAGGAAGATTTTGAGGTCTCGTCGGACCGTTGTGGGTCCGACATTAGGCCACAGGGGGAGTCTCGGGATGACATTCCAGACAATGACGAGTACCTAGACGATAAACGCGACAAGAACGTCACTCTCTGATCTATTACAAGGTCACAAAACGCGAACCCACGAGCTTCACGAGCACGAATTTGAACTTGATACTGAGACTTCCAGACTTATGGGCTCTGGTTTTATCGGCATATGAATTTTTTACTTCCATATCTTTTATTTTTTTTTTACCTTTCTCGGCTTCGGTACCTCAATAATCGCAAATCCAAGTATTGGATTTGTTCAGAGAGTGGTTTGGCATGGTTTCCAGTGTGCAGTTCATATGCTGGTTTCAATTGGTTCAACCCATATCTCATGAGGGTCTAGCATGAATGCATTCTGGACTATTACCATCAGATCATGCTCCGGCTATTTTTCCCGTGGAATTCATTTCCTAGCTACAGGGCCGCAGACATTGTCCGCATTATTATTTGAATTTCGGGTGGCTATTTGTTTTTTTTTGGCAATTTGTCTCGTTTTTCACCCATCGCGTTTTTGCACTGTTGTCGGCTTTCGTGCTTCCGTCGGGTTTTCATTCCATTTTACATTACTGGGAAGGCATTCGTCTATTTACTACCCTTTTACATCTTCTACGATGTATGTGTGGCGATCTGTTTTTCACCTACGCGACTAAAAGACGTGGGTCGGCTATGTCATCTTTTTCCTTTGCCTTGATTATTATCGTTGGAGCTATTTTCATCTTTTTATATTTATTTCTGATTTTCTTACCGTTGTCTGTCTTTTCGTTGTCTGTCTTTTCGTTGTCTGTCTTTTCGTTGTCTGTCTTTTCGTTATCAAGTATCTGCTTATACTTATATCCGGAGGTTGTTTGATCACTCTTTCTGCTATTCAGTTATTGCCGCATGCTATTCCACTTTCCGTTGGGATCTTGTATCTCTGAGCGCTTTCTGATGAAATTCTATTATGCGAATTATACCGAGTATTCCTCCCTGGCTCTACATATCCAACAGATCCGATCCGATCCGGACTGGGGCATTCTTAGTCTTCTCTCTAATCCGAGGCATTTGCCCTTGCCACTTATCCTCTCTTCTTATCGAGAGTGGAGAGTGCAGAGGGGTCCGGTGGTTTCTCGGTCTCAGATAACGGGACTATTGACTTTATAGTTTGTCCCTGTGAAGGGGGAATCTTGGCTGCATAATGGAGCTCGGGTATTGCATCCTTTTCATGCTACATCATGCACCTACCCTATCCAGCATGCTGCCTATATTACATATGTGCGTATATGCAGTGTAGACCGGGTAGGGGCAGACGCACCCATGTAGGCCCCTATGTGAAGACCTGCCACGTGACTTACCCTAATCGGGACAGACGATTTGGGCCTACCGACATAGGTAGCTATACATAGGCCTTGACAAGTCCTACAGCACCTATGCAATTTTTTAGTTCGGTACTGTAGCGCCGGGTTCCAGCTCGGGGATACTCAAAAAGAAGTTCCGGGATACTCGAAATCACTTGATTATATAACCACAGGAATAATAACGTAACTATTTCGTATGCGAGCCTTAGAACACCATAGTAAATGCGATAAATTATAACATGATATTTTAACAACCAGCGCTTTTATTTAATTTATTACTCGCCAATAGCAATTAACAAGCACTTTTAGTAACTAACTGGTTATCATATATCAATTTTAGATAAATTGAGTATCTATATTATTATGGTATCGGAAAATATATCGCTGAACTCTAGAATATATATCTCAGTCACTAATTTATTAAGTCCCCCTAAACTCTAACTAATACGTAGCTAGATATCATATAAAAAGTATTAGGCTATAAAGAGAAGCTCATATCAATAACCATTATTAAAATATCATGTTATAATTTATCGCTTTTACTATATATTCTCGGGTGCGCTGCTTACGGGTATATACTACTTAAGGGGTGAAATACGTTATTGTTGAGATTAAAAAATAGCTGGTTATCTAAGCGAAATCTGCGTGTCTCCGAGGTATTTTCTGAGTATCCCCGAGCTGGGCGAACTGGTGGCCTAGCTGACCTAATTGGCGATTCATTTGAATCACATGACTACTATTATACAGGGAGGCTCCTTTCTCGTAGTCGCGAGGCACTTATTTCGGGTGGAAGATTGAAATTCCTGAATTACCCAGGTAGCTCTCCACAAAGCCCATAAATAGGCCCGGACCCTGGGCCCAAAGCCCAACCTAACCAATAGCCCATCCGTAGGGGCCTATTATAGCCTATTAAGGGAGTCTTGGCGCTTATAATCATAATCGCTATATTCTAATCATCTAGGAGAAACTACTTACCTTCTACTAATCGTCTTGAGCTTAAATTTGGAATTTAGGATTCTAATAGCTATATAAGTATATATTTTAATTTCGAATAAAATCCGACCGGTAGAGGTCGAGATACCGCGAAAAAGGTTAATATTAACATTTTAATACTAGATATATATTTAGGATTTATATAGGAGTACTATTACTTTCTAAGTAAACTTCTATAATTTATAAATTATCTAAAGAACGCGTTATCTCGCGTTTTTAAACGTGATATATAGACCTAACTAATAAATGATTTCGAATCGATTAAAATAATAAAAATATTACCTCGGGATAAAGGCCAGAAACGGGGCCTAAATATAGGGTAATTACAAAGTCACTTTTTCAGGATATTTGTATTGTTTAGGGCCTATTGAGTCCCTATTAAAGCCTAATAGACCCTTACCCCGGGCCCAAAACCCAGCCCATTAGTGGATTGTGGCGGGTTGGCTTTGAGCTTTGTGGGCTTTGCGGAGGTCTATACCTAGGTATCACTATCTCTCAGGGTTGAAAGTTCGGTTAATCCTAGATTTATCGTTAAGAAATAGTTAAAACTTAGTGTTGCATTTGCTTGCTATAGTGCTTCTTTTCCATACATTCTGACCTGCTCTTGTCAATATAGGCCTTCCATATAGGGTCTGCTTTCAAACCTTTCCCCATTTTTGTTTCTAATCCAGGAAGACCCTATATCCTTCTGGTCTTCTGTCTTTAAAAACAGACCAGCAGATCCATAGCGGATGGCGGATTCTTGAACCACAAGGGCATATCCTTTGCTCAATAGGTACATCTTTGGTTGGTTTTGCTTCTTCATGACCTTGCCAGGTTCAAAAACAACGCCTTCGAGATGCCCCTTCATACATGTTGCTTGCCATATGTGACATCTAAATTCCTTTTGTATTGGACGATGAAATCTGCGATCATTGTTTCTGGACGCATCTCTATACTCAGCACCCAAAGGTTATAAAAGTCAGGTAATATAACCAATATAGGATCTAGGAATTGGTCAATAGCAGCTGCTTCGGTTGCTTCATGGATTTCTGCTTTTCCACACTCGTTTCGTGTGAGCTCCCAGTTCAACAGCCATATGTTGATGTCGGTGTTTTTATCTAATTTTCGGTCTAAATTTCTCCATTTCGAGTGCATTCGCGCTTTGTATATAGAGTCGCTTCAAATTTCGAAGCAGTGTCCAGGGTTCGTCGTCGGTGATCACTAGAGTTTGGTATATTATATAGATGATGCTTCTGATGGCAGATGCCACATAACTAACCTATTAGACAGCTCTTCTTCTATCCTCAACGGAAGTGTTCCATTGCTCCGTTTTATATGTTAAGGATTTTATCCCAGTTGGCTTCGTCATCTTCGCTTGTTCAACAGTCGGAGGTTTTTTTGTAGTCTCTATAAGGATAGGTTGTACTACAAGTGTTGGGCCACAGTACTCGCAAACCTCTAGTTAATTTGTAATTCCTTTAATATAAGAGAACCAGGCATTCCAATTCGATATACCCTTTAGTATAACGTGAGGAAATGAGGTCGCGGAGAGGTTGAATTCTGACATAGTCGTTGTAGTAGACAGAATTCTGATTCTTGAATTTAGGGGTTGTTTCGTTGACGGGGTTCGAATTTAGCTTCAAAATCAGCCATTTGATGACAGGAAGCTTCGAATTCGTCGAGGACAGGGTGCTTATTAACAAATGAAAAGGCTTATTTGAACAATTCCGGGCTCATAACTGACAGAAATCTGACTGTACGACAGTATATGGTATTTTCAGTGGTATGCAACTCTCTAACTAGCAATAATGACACGAATCCGCTAGGTATTTGACAATCTGTGTGGACATAAGCTGACTAAATAAGATGCACTTTTGTATAGGACCGCCGGTACGGCGGTCCGATGATATTCCGGGTGAAATACCCTGCATTCAACGATGTACTTCAGCCAGGTATTGAACCGTAGTATTCGACAATAAATTAAGAAGATAGGTAGGTAGGTCGTTACCTACCTGGCTCGAGAGTCACATTTGTACATACCACTGAATTGTACCATATACCGTTGTACTACACATTTCTGTTAGATGATTGGCCGGGCTGTAAATTCCGGATCCCTTTGATTACGACCATCCAAACCTTAAATGGCGGCACGTAGCGATTCAGCTCCACAGAATACCGCCCCTGGCCGTTATACACCTGCGTACCCGAGTCTCAAGGGGATTGGGCATACCCCCGATTCTAAATTCCGAGCTCACGTTTTTACCGCCTAAATCCTTTCTGGTAGATAGGATTTAAATCGTAGCTAATATACCTTGAGAAAGTGGGATATCAAAGGAGGATGAATTGTCAGCTTAGGCTACTTCTATTCTTCTGCCGTTCTTATACCTCGAATCAATGGATATGTAGGGAGACTGAATGTTCGCAAAAAGGAACCATAGATAAAAAGCAAAATCGCGCACTTGTACTCCATAAGAACAATGCAATCCTTGTCGACGATCTTACATAACCCGTCGTTTTGTGTTTGCCTTATTTCAAAACACCAGCCAAGGCTAAGTTTAGTGAATGGTACGCGTTTATTCTCATATGTGCTCTACCACAAACAAATATCCAGTCTATGCAGATCAAAATACGTAAAATTATTGTTTATCCAAGCTGCGCTTTATCATTCGGACTTTGTCATACTTACTGGCTCGCATTGTCCAACCCCTAGACTTCATATGAGGACTTCTACTTGAGGTATGTCCTGGGGTATGAAGATCACAACAAAGAAAAATAGAAAACAAACAAAAAAATCTTAGAAATATTTGAAATGCAACATACAGACAGTTATTTAAGAAAGGCCATAGTAGCCTTACTGAGGTGTGACCCGCTGTTCATGATGATTTAACTTTCGCCCGTGATATAAGCTTTTAATGCTTCCACTATCTACTGTTCGGGCACCAAGTCCTTTCACTTATTTGTTTGATACTTTGAGACCATGTCTTCCATCATTGGGCAGGGTATAGCCGGTCATTTGAATGCGGACTGGAAGCCAAGTCAGCCTTCTGCAGCACCAGCACCAGCACGCCGCAAAGATTTAGATAACAACAACATAGGAACGGTTACTGGACAGCAGGGTGCTTGGCAGGCAACGCAAGATGCCAGAAACACCCCAAGCCAGCAATCTCCTTCCGACAAGCAAGCTCCCTCCAACACTCAGGATGATGGCCAATATCACCCAAACCAACCCAAGCCCCAGGCATCACAACTTGCCAAAGCTCCAGATGCTGCGAACCAAGAAACAACTCTGGGACAGCAAGCTTCTTCGCTGACACCACAAAATCGTGCAAGTCAGCAATTGTCTCCAAACAACCAAGCACCCTCCAACACTCAGGATGATGGCCAGTATCACCCAAGCCAGCAATTATCTTCAAACAAGCAAGCAGCACCGATCACTCAGGATGATGGCCTATATCACCCGAACTCAGCCGGGGGCAACGAGAGCTCTTCTACTTTAAGTAACGGCCAATACAATCCGAAGCAGCAACCGGCAGAAGGCCATCCTCAGATGAATCAAGCATCCACCGCAACACAACACGGATCAAGCACAAACGCATACGACAGCCAGCAATTAGGCTGGAGTCAAGTTGCCCCAGAAAGCGGAAGTTGGAATTCAGTGGTCGATGCTACCCAGTCGCCTACCCCCACTCAGCTACACCCTACCGGCCATGGAACATCAACAACTGCTCCTCCAATACCCACAAATTCAGAATCAGATTCATCTGCCAGTTCACCCGCCGCACGTGCGGGCATTGCTCTGTCGGTCTGTGCTGCTGTAGCACTCATTGCGCTTCTGATTTTGTTCCCACTTTGTAAGCGACGCAAGCGCCTCCAAAAAGTACTTGGCGATAGCCAAAAAGAAGCTACCGCGCATGACCCTCCTCTACACGGAGCTGCCCAGCCTCTCCATGAGTGCATCTCAAAATTTTACAGCCACAGTGCTCGACTCGTTTTTTCAACGACAGCTTTCATGAGACTCAAGCGGCAAACTTCAAACCCTGCCCCGTATTTTGGTGACACCCATGTTCGCAGTGAGACAAACAACAATGCCATTGTTCCACATAAGTCTCCTCGAATTGAGATTTGCCCTGCGCCCCAAGACTCACCACCTGCCTCGGTTTCTTCTTGGGAGACAGAACTGTCTAAATCGCATTCCAACAGTTCCTTGGCACCGTCAGAAGCCGCAAGCCTACAAACGGGAAGTCCCAATCCCGACCATGTAAATGGCCTAGGGACACTGGAGAACCTGAGCGTGGGAAACCTCGTCGCTGTCAATCCACTAATGAAAAATATTTATACCGTGGAAATGGATTATAGCTCTAGAAGAGCTGGCCAGCTTGACCTTCAAGTCGGCCAACGTTTGTGCATAATGCAGGCATTTGACAATGGATGGGTATGTTATCCCTTTCTGGACCCGTAATAAACAATACTAAGTACTAATAATCACCGACATAGGCAATGGGAGTTCGCCTCGACTGTCCTGAAGGAGGATTAGTGCCCCGCTCTCATCTCTCTGTTGAACCTGAAAACCAACCTATTCGATGTGCTGGCGAGCAGAGGAAATCAAACCGATACTCTCTTAATGAACGAGCTTTTAGTTTGGGCTCGCGCTTTTATTCTTTGTTTCATTCCTCGGCGCAAGATCCACATTCCTCCCCTGTTTAGCCCATCCCACGGCGGCGTAACTTGGGTTGACACAACGGAAGTTTACCGCATGTGCTTGTTTCCTTTCTTGTTGATAGATTTATTTGCCCTATATAGCTCGGTTTTTAAATACACTGCTACGCAGGAGTCCTCTTTTGCCCGCCGAAAACTGGAAACTAACGATCGATTTATGAAGCTCTCAAAGTGGGCTCGAATATAATTATTCACGAACGTAGAGTATGCAACAGCTTGTGCTTGTGCAATAAAAATTGGCGTTGTGATAAAAGGTAGGTAGTATAGATTGTGTGATAGTGGGCCTATTGTAGGATATAACTGCCTAGGTGATGACCTAGATGATCAAGTCAGGGTACTTGGGGATGTGCTCAGTTTTAATGATAAAAAGCCATAATATGCTGTGAGTACTAAACGGGTGCTAGACATTATTCGATACTTTTACAAATGTGGGCGAGAAATTATGACCATTAGGAACGTAATGGAATTTTTTTAATAAAATGTGGGAGTGTACAGCCTTAACAGCATCAAACTTGATTCCCCCTTTTGAATAGACGTAGGCAAAGCCAAAAAAATCGTAATCTAGACATGCAGTCCCTCGTGCCCTTTACCACAACACTTATCAGAGACTTACCAGTATTGTTGGGGTCCGGGACCCATTGTGTTGAATCGCAAATGAAGTAGTACCGGAAATTCTTCATTTTGGTCATTAGACCGTTGTTGATAAGTGTAGCAAGTTCTGGTGATAATTGCCTGTTTTAGCTACTATGCACCGTATGTTCAAATATTATGACCTACGTTCGCGTGCCAGTCCTCCTTCCTTGGCAGGCCTGTTCCAAGCGAATGGACCATAAAGTACCATGAAAATATTAATAATGCGCCTATCCTGGCTATTCAAAACCGGAACATCATTGTTAAGATAGTGACCGATTATCTGCACGGTAGATTCAGCGACCTTCATCGCAGTTCTGCTTTAGTTGTACCATTGCTGTTAGCAATACCGGGAATGTTATGCTTTATAATACCTCCAGGGCCTCATGAAGAATCGTGCACCAAGAATTCTGTTATTCCAAGACTGGGTAGTAACATCAGCTGTTTGGCAAGAGCTGTGTACTGGAATGTTAGGAAAATCTGTAAGCTCTTCGAATCGACGTCATAACATGGGCATTTGATGGAAACGGCGACTTCGTGATAATTCCATGGGAGGAGCGAAAGAGTCCGAATCACAATGTTATAGAGGAACCGGATACCCGACCGAATGGTACCTTCCTTGTCCTGCACAAATCATTGCCATAGTGACGCTTTGTAAGTTCTAAAAGTAACACCAAAGAACCTCACACACAACTCAGAGAATCTTGAGACTGCTAGTGATGGCTACCTATTTAGTATGGCTTGTCATACCTCATCTTGGTCTGTTCTTACCTCCTTTGTTCTGATGTCAGTAATACACTTTTGAACATTTTATGGAAATGTGTTTTAGAATTCTTTTTGGAGTAGTTTGGTACTTTTTGACTCCAGTGCAAGCCTCTTCGGGCATTTTAGCACAAACCCGTTGCCTTCATAATGATATACTTACTGTTCAGATGGCGTTCAATCTGAGGTTTCGTTGGCAGGAATGGGTTTTCACCGTCACATGGAAGAGCGTTCATTGAAATGGCAGAATAACAATAGTTATTCTCGGTAATGTCATCCCGAAATTTTTGGTTGTTTGTCAATGGACCGGGATAGGTATGGAGATGCATGGTTGAGAGAGGATTTAGAAGAGTTGACTTTTGAAGACATGGCTTGGATACGAATTGACTACGCCAGTACTGCACATATGTGGGGGTCATTCATAGTGCAGGGTTTATCAGCCTCAGTAAGTATATGTGGCACGCCGAGATGTCACCCCCTCTCGGCCTTTGCATAGCCAGAACTTAATAACCACTTGGGCAAACACCGAGACTTAGTAAGGGTTTAAACACCCCGGGGCCTAGTTGATTAATCACGGGGTATATGAAACCTTCACTTCATTTCAAATGGAAACATACCCGCACACGTAAAAATCAGTTTAGAATTTGCATCGTCAATCTGCACATCAGTAGCATCTAGTAAATCTAGAGTTCACACCAGTATCAACTCAATCCCCAAATTGCGAGCTAAAATAACAAGAAGTCGGAATATAGTCCCTATTTCAAAAGCCGACTGGCAACTATGTTGTATTGCGTTCCTCTTAGATGAAGAGCAGCTCTACTCTAACTACCCAGTGCACCACATTGGAGGTTCGGGTAATGAGTACTATGCTACACTCGTCAAGCCCATGTCAGCGGAAGAACTTATTGCGCCTGGGAAGATCATCGCTGAAAGAGGGTCAAGGTTCTGGGCCCTATAGCAGATGGAATTTTTTTCAACATCATTTTTACTACACTGCAAACGCTAGGAGAAGAGATTATAAGTCAAGGGTCTCTTTTGGAGGTGGATGATAGATGCATCAACTAAAGAGGGGTAAGCTCACGGCATCCACGAACAAATGCGAACTTTTAAGAATGCGCAACAAGCTAAATTTATGTAGTATATTTGTGGGAACCGGTGATTGTCTCTCTATCCCGCCGTGATCTGGCATCGCAGAGCCATTGTAGAGGACGACATGAGATACTAGGGTTATACTATATAATGTGCAGGCGATCCGATGAGTGTGATCCCGAGCAGTGTCTAGGGCTTAGTTATATATGCTGTAGTTACAATCGGAGGTTCTGGTTGTTGCTATGATGTTCTAGCTGAGTGGTTAAATGCTCTTATCTAACCACGTAGGTGCAGCGGCCTGAGTTCCCGTCCGGATTACAACCCTGTTCCAACCATGTACTCGACTTAGTATTTGACAAGTTAGTTAACATCATCTCCACTTCAGACGCCGGCCGAATAAACGCCTTCCCTCGCCCTCAAACTGTATCTACAATTCTCCACCTCAGGCGACGATAACCGACGGATAGAGTCTGCGAGGTCAATTGCTATCCCTACACCGGAGAGTTTAGGACTCGAAACAATTTCTCTAGAGAACCACTAATCATAGGGCCCTATTTAATGGCGACTTAGAGCCCGCTCTACGTCAGCTCCATCGCTTTTTTTTTCACTCCTCGTTTTGTAGCTCTACTATTTCTTGCCGTATTTCTAGCATCAGCAGCCGCGAGATGGCACAGCTTGAAGACATTGGCGCTGTGGTCTCTCGTCGGGCACAGGATGCGGCTCAGGCAGGGTCTAAGAACCCAATGTGGGACGTGATGAGCAACCTATGGTGTCCATTGACAAACCCGGATGGGTATGTCAATGTTGGCGTGGCAGAAAATGTCCTCATGCACGATCAACTCCTGAGCTTCATTAACACGAAGCTCGACCTACCCCCTAAATACCTCACGTATAACGATGGAGGGTCCGGATCTTTGAGACTGAAGCGAGCCATATCCCACTTTCTCAATCGACATCTGCATCCAGTGATTCCTCTGGATCCTAGCCACCTCATCATTTCCAACGGTGTCTCCTCTGCAATTGAGCATATCTCGTCGGCATTTGCAGATCTTGGCGAAGGAATCCTCCTAGGGAAGCCGTTTTACGGCACTTTCATACCAGATATGTCGCTGCGACCTGGCACAACTGTGGTTCCTGTCAACTTTGGAAACTGCGACCCGTTCAGCATTGAGGCCGTGGCGAAGTATGAGCAAGCTTTGCTGGATTTTCAGCAGACAAAAGGACGAAAAGTAAAAGCACTGATGCTTTGCCACCCTCACAACCCTCTTGGACGTTGTTACCCCAGAGATGTGATCATTAAACTGATGCATCTTTGTCAGAAGTACAAGCTGCACCTCATCAGTGATGAAATCTATGCGCTTTCTGTTTGGGAAAATACAGTCGACAAGCATCTCCACCCAGTTACGTTTGAATCGGCTTTATCAATTGATCTGGCCGGTATTATTGATTCCCGGCTTGTTCATGTACTCTGGGGCATGAGCAAGGACTTTGGCGCAAATGGACTTCGACTTGGAGTTATCATCTCGCAAGCTAACGACGACCTTCATCAAGTATTGAAAGGAGTCTCAATATATTCCTACGCGTCTGGGGTTTCTGATCACTTAACTTCCCTTCTGCTGGAAGACTTTGAGTTTACCAATCAGTATATCCGGTATAATCGGAAGAAGCTGTCGGAGTCTCACGCATATGCTGTGGGGTACATCAGGCGTCACGACATTGAATATGCACAAGGCTGCAACGCTGCATTCTTCCTTTGGGTAAATCTTGGGAAGAAGTACCGCCAGCTCTATCCCGATGAAAGCAACAGTGAAGACGTTGACGATAAACTCGCAAAAGAAAGTATTTCTGGCTAGCGGCGCTCTGTTCGGGTCGGAGCGTGTTGGATGGTTCAGAATTGTGTTTTCTCAACCTCGCGAGTATTTGATTGAGGCTCTACGGAGGATGACAGATGCACTTGCACTTGAGGATTAGATCTTATCAATTGAGGACGTAGTAAAGTCATCTGACTTTTTTTTATCCACGAAAAGAAAGGCCATGTGATTTGAGCAGAAAATAATTAGAATATGAGAAAAGAATCTTGAGGTAATCATTTTGCGTTGAGTATTCGTCGGGGAAATAATGAAAGAGAAAGGATGAGGTTCGAAGTCTGCTTATCTGGAAATGTGGAAGCAACCTTTCGGCAGCTTGTGTCGAACAGGTAGCTCTAGTTATACAACACAAGATTTGGTACTTCAACGTCAGTTGATAGCCATACTTAGAATCGAATTATGTATAACCCCACGCTTCGAATGGTTTGCAATCACAATAACGCCACGGTGAAATCTCAAGCTTCATTTGGCATTCAGCATTCAATGAATTAGAAGTACACATGCAAACTACCACTAGGAGATAGTCTCTGTAATATTTTGTTTCAAGGCCTCATTCCTACACATCAGTGAGTGATTTTCGGATGAACAAAAGGTGACAACTAGCAAAATATATCCCCTACCTAGTTAATCATATGGCCCTTATTCCCAACCTCCTTGGGGATGTGTAAACTTTGACGAGCTTCATCGTTCATTTGGCTACGTCACAGTCATGATGCCTGGCCAACCATTTGTTCTGGTTTAAATTTAGCACTGCCCATCTCTGGACCGGGCATCATAGAAAGATAGTGTGCCACTGGGCCCACTTTCTCGGCTTTTGAGACGTGGTGTTATTTTCGACTTCATTTTACGACCAAACACCGATTCGCCGATGGAATTATCTCGACCAAGGAGGTTAGTCACACTCCTCTTTCCAGTCCAGAAACAAGGACCGACAATGACCGAAAGACAAGAGAAAATTAAAAAAAAAAAAAAAAAAATTAACAAGCAGTCCCTTCATAACGTTAAGGTCCTTGGCCTCGGTCCGAAGTCAAAATTACCTTCCCTGACGGAACCATACGTGGTATTCGGTGTTTGATGGGGAGTGGCGATAGCAGGATGGTGATCTGAGAATGGGAATGTAGGGAATCTGAGTCCTACGGTGTGTACCCCGCCTCGTACTCCATACTTGCGGTGCGTCAATACATATAAGTACGCTATGTCTCCTAACTGACCTACCGTCCGTTATCCTCTTACAATACTGAAGTCTGCGTTCAAAACAATCGAAGTTCCTCTGGTATAATGGCTGTAACTACTGGAGGCTGTCTATGTGGCGCATGCGCCTACTCATATGAAGGCAATCCCGCTGTTAGAGTATGTTGAGCCCTAGTATTCCCGGACACATGTCTCTCGTCTAATACCATTCAGGCTCTCTGTTACTGCGGCCCTTGTCGTAAAATATCCGGAGGAACGAACACTGTCAATGTTGGGGTCCCCGAGGCCAATTTTTCTGTCACTAAAGGGCACCCTAAATCATACGCAATGCAGCATCAGTGGGGATTTACACTGTCGATATTCTTTTGCCCTGAGTGCGCAACTGTGATGTGGAAAACAGCAACAGACGCAGGATTGCAAGGAATGAAGATCGTTCAGGCGGGGACGGTGTCGGATGTGTCTCAGCTAAATGAGAAAATCGATGCGGAGTTTTATTCGCCAGAGAGGCCGTCATGGTTAGCTCCTGTCGAAAATGCAGACCAGAGGGAGCAGTTCTGAATTCTAGCGAGAAGAACTGACAATAACTCTAAGCTAGGCCATATTAGCTTACCTCAAATTCATACTTCCTCCTAGAGGGGGCCAGAGAAACGCGTCTAAGCGAAACGAAAAGAAAAGTGTATTCACATTGTGAAATACATCATCGGGCCAAATGGTATAGTTATAGTTCCACATTGATACTTAGTGCTTGTAACCATAGTAAACTTGAATTTGGTAGATGTCTTAGAAACAAAGATATCAAACTGACAAAGACGGACATCAGACAGACAAAGACAGATATTAGACAAAGCACTCAGTCTGCCAACATCTAGCAGCTTCTGGGAAGATCTGAGAAAACAGTTTTAAGGAAATCCAGCTGTGCCGACATGTTCTCTTCAAATTCGTTGCCGAAGTACAAATCAAAATGCTCCGAATTTTTATGACGGCCAATGTCTTTGGTTCGCAGGCAGAGGCAAAAGCTTCAAGCTGCGAGGAAGTGGACACGGTGGCGTCCTTTTCTGCAACTACCATTAGAAGCGGCGTGGGGGAAATTCGATGGATGAATGCCTGCGGCTCGAAGATAGAAATGTTGAAAACGGATTGCAAAGTCACTTCCTTCTCCCATGGCTGCTCACGTCGAGCTAGTTCTTTCAAGTAAGGGGCCACATCAGGCTTTCCCATTAAGGCTCCCGAGTCGCCTCTCTCAGCAAACTCAGGTGTCTCCGCAATGACCTTGGTCATTGCGGGAGGGTGACCAGACTTGATACTTTTCCGGTCGGCGTACATGGCAGGAAAATAAGTCTGTAGAAAAGGGCCAATGGACTCGCCAGACACAAACGGAACCTGCACCACAACCGCGGCGATACGTTTGTCGAAAGCTGCAGCAAGGATACCAATGCCACCGCCCATGCTGCTACCCCAAAACACGATCTTGGTCGGTTCCACTTCCGGTAGTGAAGCCACATAATCAAAGGCATCAGCGTAGTCTAGTGCTTGCCTTGTAGGATCGGTTTCGTTGCGCGGAAAACCATCGCTTGAACCCCAGCTGCGGTGGTCATATATGAGCACTGCATATCCCGCGTCACGGAAACGCACAGCAAAGTCGGGGAGGAATTGCTCCTTGAGACCAGAAAACTACAAAAAACAATGTATTAGCCAAATTAACTTCGGAGGCAGGAACATTGAAGGAGAGGAATACCCCATGGGTCATGATAATGCACGGGATCTTTACAGCTCCAATAGGTGCATAGAACAATCCTCGTAACGTGACTCCGTCGACAGTACGAAACTCAACATCTCTTTGGACAGTTTGGGGAGGAGCCGTCTTAAGAAGTAGACAATAGTATAAGATTTTGTTGTAGTCAATAGTAGTAACACCTTCATGCGAATTGAGGCCACTTTATATGTGGTGGCTGCCGGCATTCTCCTTTGTTTTCGTAACAACGGCTATATCGGATAGACTCCATCCAAGCCCCAGGAATCACCTAGATTCCTCATCGGAGTTAAGCTGTTTATCAAAGCGCGAGATCCGTCCCAACGATTTACTCAACTATAACTCCACGAGCCATGGGGTCAAATACGTCATATTTTATGCTATTATGAAGTGGATACTAAGTATGAAATATGTCCACTGTAGTAATACGATCCGAAGTGCCTAGGGAATCCTAAACTAAGTAATCAGGTTACCGTGTAAACGCGATATTAGCCTAAGACTGTTTATGGGTGCTTTCCAAAGTCGGTCGAAGGTCGAATGTCAAAGCCGTATCAGTATCGTGGAATAGATGCCACATTCAACAGACCGACGGCCTTGACTTCCAGTTGTTGGGAGTAAACTGTGGTAGACAATATAATGAGGCTGGACTTATTTCACCTAGAGCTCGCAGGTACCTCATTGGATGGAATGATGCCTACCCACAAGCCGGAAGACAACCCACAAGCTGGAACAAAACCCACAAGCTGGAACAAAACCCACAACATCTGCCTGCCTTAGCTCAGTTATCTTCATATATTGCGCAACATGTCAGGCTTGTTAAGTAATTTAGCCGGATCCCGGTTTGAGTGTGAAACATGCGGGAAAACATACTCGAGTCGGAGTCATCTACGTCGTCACGAAACCACTCGTACAACACCCGCCTCCTTCTCTTGTCCGTGCACTAATTTTTGGCAGATACAGACTATCCTGCAATAACTTGCCCGTCCTGCTCTAAGACATTTGCCAGGAGGTAAGCTTCTCTACCATGATCTATTTCATCATTTCCTTAACCGAGGATAGGGATGTGGCTCGTCGGCATATGCAAAACTGTGGCAAGAGTGCTCAAGAATTCTATATACCAACTAAACAACGCGGGAAGAAACCCCATGCATGTAGCAATTGTGCACAGAAGAGGGTTTCATGTGACTCAGCTACACCATGCTCGCGATGCATGTCTCGCCGCCAGCAGTGCTCGTATCAGCAAATCAATGCCCGGGTATCGCCTACACGCACGACAGACGGGACCAGGCCGACCGGGATAACTTGGCTCCTGGATTTCACTGATCCATCTGCCTTTGGAACCTCTGAATCACTTGCAAGAGAGGTCTTTGTTGACAGTGAACTTTGCGACATGCTATGCCTCTCGATGTTAGGCTGGCCGGAGCCGACATTAGAGAACGAAGCCTCATGTGTAGCTTCGCTACCAGAGCTTTTCCCCGGCACCACTATGGAACTTTCAGAGGACTATCCATTGAAAACCATAAGCTCACCATTGCTCAGTAAGCAGGTCGAGGAGTTGGTTGTTCAACTATCGAAGACGCATCAAGTCATGGTATTACGTAACGCTACAAATGTGCCGGACTTTGATATCTCTCTAGCAAAGTCCGTCTTTACCGTTCCTAATCTCGAGTACTTTCTTGGCGTCTATGCCTATTCAATCAGGTCATATCATCCTATTCTTCATGTCCCGACCTTTCGCTATGAGCAAGTTTCGCTCCCTCTTTTACTGGCTATATTCCTCTTAGGGGCCCTTTTTTCTGCACCTATGGACCATGCCGTCTCAGCCCGCCATTTCTTCCACATTTCGGAGGAGTTTATCTTTGATCACCCAAATTTCAGACAGCTGCTCCTCGGAAGAAATACTCCTAAAGACCCGACAATCGAGTCTGTAGAGATTCTGCAGGCTGCCTTGACTATTCTCATCATCCAGAGTGGCATAAACGATCAGTTAACTCGTCGTCGAATTCGAGTGGAGAAGAATCCCCTTTTAAGTGCTGCGGTCCGATTGTCTGGCGTTCTCCGGATCAAGCATCGAATCTCCATAACTGATTACACTGCCAAGGATTGGACCCTATTTATTCAATACGAAACCTGCATCCGGTAACTGAGTTCAAAATCCGTCTACTGTTCTTAACTAATCAGAGACGCAGTCTAGCACATTGGACTCAGGTCTATGCTAGCCTTATGGCAGGCGCTCTCAACTGCAATCCACTAATTTCCGTGTCTGAAATGACTGGTGATATGCCATGCCGAGAGCAGTTCTTTGAAGCAGAGACAGCTCAAAAGTTTGAGCAATTATTGTCGTTAGAACCTACTGAGATTCAGTCTCAAGTATTAGCAGATTTTGTTTTCCTTCTGCTCTCAGATGCCTGCCCAGGACCAGAGGATAAATCTTTTAGCCGGATGACACCCAATGATTTGTTCATTGTTATTAGTGGTAAGGCACTGCCAATTCATACAGCTCGAGCCGACGCTTATACTGTATTTAGCTTTAGGTTTGATTGTGTCAGTTGCGAAGGCAAATTGCCTCACTTCCACATTTTCCAACGTCCTACACCGTGCTTGTCGGCGATGGAAAACACTTTGGGATATAGCGGTGGCAAAAGCTGAAGCGGATCCTACCACTCAGCGTGGATTCGCAAAGTATGCAATAGAACTATGGTGGTTTGCACTAGTAATCATAAGGGTAGCTCGTTCTGGGGATCGGACATCTGATTATATGAGCGGCATGACGGTCGACTCTTTAACAATGGTTAATAAGTTTCTATATCGATACAGAGGCTTGGAAAATTTAGCAGAAGAATTATAATAGCAAATTGCCTGCTCACCGCTACTACTACATACGTATGTCACGAATTTTTATACACCCCCGACAGTAATGTTCTGAGATGCTCCTAACTAGGGGGTGTTTTCCTTCATTTCACCTAATCTCAAATACCATCGACTGAAGTCTGAGCCTGACCGAAGCAACACCCCCTCCTCTCGCTGATTTAGATGATTTCAAAAAGCTGCTTACCGGCGTCTTTGTTTGGACCGTCCTTTCCCCCTGCCTTTACCCCCTACATGTCACCAGTAGTACGTGGACGTACTCTTCTTTGACTAGTTTACAGATGATTATCAATTATCTCCAAGCTAATTTAGTTTGAGATAGTTACAGACACGATAGTGAACAATCCACCACCGAAACCAGGGTTACCACGCACAGTCATTCTCCACGCATAGAACTGACGAGCAGCCCAGAATACAACAGATCAGACTATAGAATAAAGGATCTATAAATAAAAAAACCAACAAGTTGAACTCGCGGTAGAATCTTCCAATTCTCTTCCAAAATCAAAAAGGAACAGAAAAAAACACAACAGACTCACCAACAGAGTATTGACTTCGCTCCATCGTATTTGAGCAGCATCCAAGCCTCCAGCCTCCAGTCCCAGCCCTGAACCAATCACCTAGGTATCCACTCTTCCGCGCGTCCCGTCTTTATCGGTTCGAGGTCTCCCTTCTACTCTTTCCTACTTCCTCTTCAGGTCCCCCTTCTCTCTTCCCCGACGTCTAGTACATCATACAAATGCTACATGCTACATCCTACATACCATACTCACCTACATCTACGGACGAGCTATGGTACTCATGTCTACAACCATGAACTCTGAGAATGCAAGCACCTCCAGTTCCGACAAATTACTGTCTATCAGACAAGTGGAAGGAATGATTGCCGATGGACATTCAATCATTATACTAGGCCACAAAGTCCTTAATCTCGATGCGTGGATCAAGTATCACCCCGGAGGCAATATGTCAATCCAGCATATGATTGGAAAGGATGCCACCAGCGAAGTCACCGTGTCAGAATAGAACTCACTGCTCATAATTAAAGTTTTTATGCTGACTAGGGCTGGACAGATTCCACTCGGAAGAAACACGTAATAAAATGACTCGATTCTAAATTGGGAGTGTTCAGGGACACTGGGAGGACTTCGTTCCCCCTATCCAAGGAGGCCAATTTCGACATCACGCTGAATTAGATGCCAAGGAATGGAATAACAAAGGCGCCGGCCCTGTGTCACCATGCATCCCAGCCGAGATGGAGGTCAAGCGCCAAGCCCACGTAAATCCCATATTGCAACCAATCCCAGATTCGAGCAGCCAGAATGAACTCGCCTTTCTCGACAGTCTGTCAAAGGAAGAAATTGTACTTAATACCAGCAAGTACCCTGCACTAGATACGGACACCCAGCATGAGATTACCAAGAAATATCGCCGTCTCCACAACCAAATTTGGGCCGAGGGATTGTACAACTGCAACTATACCGCTTATGCCTGGGAGTTTTTCCGTTGCTCATTGCTGTTTGGTCTTACGCTATTTTTCCTTCACGCTGGGTGGTACTGCATGAGTGCCATGTGGCTTGGCTGGTTCTGGTCGCAGCTGGTTTTCGTTGCCCACGATGCCGGTCATATGGGTATCTCACACAGCTTCACAATTGATAGCATGATTGGCATGATTATCGCTGCCCCGATTGGGGGGCTTTCGCTTGGTTGGTGGAAGCATACGCACAATGTACACCACATTGTGACCAATGCCCCGGAACACGACCCTGATAACCAACACCTGCCTTTTTTTGCGGTGAATCACCGATTTCTTAGCAATCTGTTTTCGACTTATCATGGTCGATTTATGTCTTATGATGCCCTGAGCAAGCTTTTGGTCCCCTACCAGGCCTTTCTCTACTACCCGGTGTTGATGTTCGGCCGTTTCAACCTGTATGTTCAGTCATGGATTTTTCTTATCCAGGGCCAAGGGCCCCAGAAGGGTGCTGCATGGTGGCATCGGTGGTTTGAACTCGCGGGCAATTTGTTTTTCTGGTACTGGTTTGGTTATTTTGTCGTCTGCAAATCTATTCCCTCGGGCTGGGACCGATTCGCCTTGGTTATGGTCAGCCACATGGTTACCATGCCGCTGCATGTGCAGTTCACCTTATCTCACTTCGCCATGTCTACCGCTGATCTTGGCCCCACTGAATCATTTCCTCAAAAGATGCTGCGCACTACCATGGACATTGACTGTCCTGAATGGCTCGACTTTTTCCACGGAGGTCTTCAATTCCAGGCCATTCACCATTTGTTCCCGAGGATCCCGCGACATAATTTACGGAGAACCCAAAAGCCGGTGCTACAATTCTGCAAAGACGTCGGTATTCCTTATGCGCTGTATGGATTTGTAGGTGGCAATAAAAAGGTCCTAGGAAGCTTAGCCGAGGTGAGCCGGCAGGCGGCTATTCTAGCCGATTGCCAACGAACTATCTCCCAAAGGGGCGATCTTATCTACGGCCACTGATTTCATTTCCGCGGCCGTCGTGGATAGAATCTCGGTGAACCTGCATTGGGCGAGATCTTATACAGTATTAGATGTTAACACATTCGGTTCCTGTACTCAAATCAAACGAAGCAGTCTCTTCATTCAAGTTTATTGCGTGTAAATATAAAACTGGTATAGTTCCAGACGATACCTATTTCACACCTGCCATACACAAACCGAATAAAAGGAAACCCAAAAAAGGAACTGATCACTAGTTTTCGAGTCGACCAAACAAGTCATCTCTCTGCGCTCATCGTTTTAACCAGCCCAAAGAGTTAACTTGAAACTTGGGCTCTTCATTCTCTACTCTGTGTAACATACATGATGAGCGGGAGAAATGTAAAATCCCGAAACGCAATGGTGCCGTGCGAGCCAAAGACCCCGAGAAAGAGTTCAATTGGCGAGGGCCGACGGTCCTTGCCCATTCGTATTTTCTGGAACTGCAGATGATGAACATCGACATCGACGACCTTCCGGAGTCAAGTGGTGTGCAATGGGTGGCGACCAACTCAAATCAGCGGTAAGGTCGTAATCCCGAATAGGATACATGTATAGGAAAGGACTATGTCTCTGATGCGCTGTGGCACGTTTGGATGGGGCAGAAACTGGGTTAAATAAAATGTGGGGCTCAAGCCCTAACTAACGTATTTCACAAGCGAGCCGCCCACACAAGCGAGCCGCCCACCCCAACCAACCTACTAATTTCAATCATATATATGTCAACCATAACTCCATTAAATTGAATATACTAAAATAAATCTATCTAGCTGGGCATCTATTAAATCTATGCTCAGTTGATCTGCACCCACTACACCTTGGTGTAGCCCGCGTACGTGGTTCTAAAGCCGGTTCTTCATGTATGCCGGCACCGGCATGGGGTGCTTCATCTGCTTCCACTAGCTCAGGAATCAATTGAGAAGCTTCTTGTACTAAGAGGCCTTCTTCTGTAGGTATCTGCCTCCGGGATCTAGTACGCTTTTGCTTCTGCTTCTCGTTGGCGGCGCGTAATTCCTTGTTTTCTTTAGCGAGTAAGATAGCACCTTGCATTGTAAGACGGAAGCCTTTCACAAGCTGGTTTAATGCACGATCTGACGGGCTAGGCGGGCTTCGAGATCTTGTACGAAGTAAAGCTTTAATTGATGAAGCTTGTCGACGTAGGTCTTTCTCTGTAAAAGGGGTTTTTGGGGTAAAATTCCGGCTTGATTCACTACCCCGGCTGGTAGGGGGGGTCGGGGTTCGGAGCCGGATATTGAGCTTTGAAATCACTCGGTCGGGTCCAAATGGTACTAAACCGGCTGCTGCGAAGCTATTTTTAATCGTCTCCGATTTAAAAGCTTCAATTCGTGCGTGGGGGTATGCTTCGAGGAAGTCAAGTTTATCAATATAGTTGATCCTATTCCGCATCTTGATTTCAACCATCCGACCGTACGTACGTTTTAACACCGCAAAACAACCAATATCAAGAGGTTGTAAAAGATGAGATGAATGAGCTGGCATACAGATTGGTATCACCTTATTTTGCTCACAAAGTTCATCAAATTTAGGTGTTAAATGACTTCCGTGGCCGTCAAGTATTAAGAGCCGGTATACCCCCTTCGTACGTATAGTACTAGGAATAAAGAGCTTTTCAAGCCAACGAAGGCTAATTTCATCGGAAGTCCAGCCATTAGGACTAACTTCAAGACGCCAATCCTCCGGGAGGCCGTCGAACCATGATTCAATAAAGACTTTGCCTTTAAAGATTATACACGGAGGAAGCACCCATCCAGAAGCATTTATACATTCAATTGTAGTCACCCATTCACGATTTCCAGGTTGTAAAACCGGCCTCCGACCGTAGTATTCACTCCTCGTAATAACCTTTGTAGTTGCAGTTAATCCCATTGCGAAGCCGGTCTCGTCAAAGTTATAGATATCGTCGGAATCGATTCCATATTGAAGGATTGTCTTTTGAACCAGATTAAACCACTCCATAATGATTTTAGGATCTTCACATTTCGCACGCTCGTAGTTATACCGTTTCGAGAATTGGGAGGAGAGGAGAGGACGCCTTTTAACAAAGTTCGTAACCCAATTTTGGCCGACCGAAAGAACCGGGGTAGTTCCACGCTTTTGAAGAAGAAGATCGGCCATTTCTCGTACCATAGAGGGCCGGGGGGCTGCTCCACGTAGATCCATAGAGAGAATCCATTTTTCAAGAGAATCCTCTTCAATTTGGGTCAATTTAAATGAATTAGCGCGTGTAGTACTTCGTTGAGTACAGCCGGATAGGCGGTCGCGTAAGGTTGTACGTGGTATATCAAAGCGGCGTGCTATTTCACGAATTGAAGAGATTTCTCGATTCTTAAAAGCCTGGATAGCTAGTAAGATCCTACCCTCTTGCTCTATTGAATCTTTAGAGCTTCGGGATCGAATTGGTGGCATGGTAGGTGGTTGAATTGACTAAGTGCTAATCTATGGACGCGTTTTGGTTGGGGTGGGCGGCTCGCTTGTGTGGGCGGCTCGCTTGTGAAATACGTTAGTAGCTACGCGCTGACAGATCGATCCAGATGACCTTACTGCCGATAATTCTCGGGGACGGTATGGATGCAGCGGGAGCTCATTTATGAAGATATATTGGCTGTCTTTGACAGACCAAGGCAGTACTGACGAATATCCGTGATGTCCATGCCCTCCCGCTCCGTACCGCGCGTGGGGGAGTCAGGAACACACAGATACCTTTCAGATCGCGGGAGCAAGCAAACAACTCAATGGCCAAATCTAAAAGAGACAGGCGGTAAACAATAGAATATATCACGTGTAATGCCGAGAAAGAGCGGAGAAAACTTCACCCTTCGAATCATGTCCTCCGTCACTAATGTATTGTCGAATCTCAGCATCGGCCAGCTCCCTGAGAATGGGAGAATCACCGCCCAGTGGGGATGGACTGTTAGACACCAATCCATAGCATTGAGCGTTGAGGACCTCAGCATCAGCTGCACACCCCAATGCCCACAATTGTAGGTATATATAGGATCCTCGTGCGTGTACAGTATCTGTCACCTGCCGCCACGCGGCAATCTGCGCCTGGTTGTAGATACCAGGTACATTTGTGAACCCTGCCTGCGGAGAAATGGAAGTCGCTTCAGTAATGATCAAAGTACTGGGAACATCTGCTCGCTGCTCATAATATTCTTTGACCATAGGAAGAGGGACATGTGCACCGTCCGCTCGGAAACGGGTCATAGGCGCCATTACCATGCGATGGGACAGGTACATACGCCCAAGGTTTATTGTATCGAAGAGTTTAGATGTAGTCATTGTGCTGTGTTAGACGTGGCCGACGAATGGCTCCACGATCGACTCGAGACTCCAGGGGCTGGTGGCACGTGAAGGTTGCAAGCACTGAGTATGTGTTCGTCTTTCTTTCCCTTTCCGTTATTCTTCCGGTTGTAGAACGATACCGTATGCGTTAACTTATATAACCGGCAGTTGCGAATATTTGCAGCGACATTCATCGGCAGTTGCTACTAAGTCCCGAGTACTCCGGGATGCTGCCGCCTCGTCAGCTTGATCACTATCAGCTAATATGACGCTCACCGGGAGTATCCATCGCATCCGCTTAAGCATGCGCTTGCACAGAAGCACCAATTAGAAGTAAGCCTAGAATGATTCGGCCATTATGCCCGGTAAGCTCGGGTTCTGTAAGTCGAAGTTACCCCGGTTATGAGAAAAGAACTTCCCGCCCAACAGGCAAAACTGGGAGGAAAGGGCTATGCATCATTTTACATTTTGCCACGATGTCACCCACCTCTGTTTCAAATTGTGAATTACTCAATTTACGGAAAATGCCTCATTACTAATCACTGGTCTATGTAATTTCGGGCATGTGTTGTGTTTCTCGGTCTTAGGGTAGTCTATGCAGGTTACAGACCACCATATAGAGATCAAAGTGGTGAAAGGAACGAAACGAGCAAGAATTACGGCGGTCCGCTCCTTTCAGTCAGACTGAAAAGGCCGTAGTAACTCAACTCTCCAAATCCTGATAGGAATGTCTTCGGGTTGAAGCCCGCTTAAAGTCGCTCAAATCATACTGAACAACTACCGCTTGCATATGCTATCAATGCTATACGATGTACAACTGGGTGGAAATGTCAATGACTTCTATTGTACCCAAGGACAATACTAGTAAGATATCCACTCTCTCTGTCTCTCTATGCAAAGTCGCCACATCGCGGAGCTCGCGGTCTCTGAACTTTGTTCATTCGCCGAAAGCCTCACCCATACATCACCACTCAAACTCCGCCCACTACCCACCAAGCCGTGCATATATATAGTTGCTTTTCTCATTATCAGAAAGACATATTCCAATTCTTTATATAGTTATCACAACTAGCATATCGTCACTCCTAGCCGCCAAAATGGTCCTCACTGGAAGCTGCATGTGTGGTAAAATCAAGTACCAGGCCGATGGTATGCAAAATATCTCAACTACACCATTATAAAGTGCTAATCTCCTTGGTCATTTACAGCTGAGCCTGCCGTTAAAGCGGTCTGTCATTGTCTCAACTGCCAGAAGGTAAGCATAGAGAATCAACTGCCCAATCAACTGCCCTCCCTCGGAGTCAAATACTAACTGTGCTGTGTAGTTCAGCGGGTCTGCATTCACTACCAACTTTATCATCCCACGATCTTCCTTTAAGATCCTGTCTGGTAAGTGATATGCGCGTCATCTATGCAATCATTTAGTCAATTGGATTGACTTTACCATAGGTACCCCGAAATCTGGCGAGTATATGGCGGACTCGGGATATACATACCATACATTTTTCTGCGGGGACTGTGGATCCTCCCTCTACGGTCAACCTGACTCACTGCCAGAGATGATGTCTATCAAGGCCGGTTCACTCGACGACGGCGCAGCAAGGTTGGAGGGCGGAAAAATTGACGCGGAGGCATTCGTACAAAGACGCGTGGCTTATCTCGAGCCTCTTGAGGGTGCAAGCCAAGTCATCGGTATGATTCAGGCCTAATGTCATGATACGCCAGATTTTGCAGAGTTGCATTAGTTGATCTCCATATCAAACTATGTTAAGGCAGGTAGGATGTTACCAGGCCGTTTCACACTTTGTTGGTATCTAGGCGAGATTAAACAGTCAGGATCGGGAAAATTAAATACTATTCTTTACATAACAGAAGACTATATAACAGACCAATGAAAGCTGGTGGTCCTCATTTGGCCGAATATCCTCAAAGTTATCGTTAATCCAAGTTCGACAATGTTGCAGCCTCGGTATTGACTGTCTCCTTAAATCCTGGTCCACACAATAGAGCCCCTTCTAGAGTATCCGGAAAAACTGTATTTTATATAGTCTATCAACCAGCCACCCTCACTTCAAAAAAAAAAAAGAAAGACATTCCCAGAATATATGTTTTTTGAGTACTATTAAGATCCAACTTTCCACTGATGGGAGGAAGGATAACTCAAGAAGAAATCACAGGTGAGTTAAAAAAAAAGATCAAAAGGAGGGATGAAAAGGTTGAGCATTGATGGAGCGCCTGTAGTCATACGCAACTAGTTAGACTGCAACAGGTTAATTGAATTTTGATTGATTGATTAGTTGGCTGAGCATTTTTGTGAAGTCTAGATATTACTGTAAGTGACAATATCAAATATATAGTATAGGATGCACGGGTGGTGCGCTGTAGTCGAATAGCTCCTTCATATCCTGTTTCTTAGTTGCTAGTCTTGTTGAGGTAGAGAGAAGGGCCAAAATCCGACTAAATCTCCTTTGAACTAAGCTTCTCTCCACGTTAGGCGGATATTTTATAGCATTTTAGTACCATTCAATCTCTCATCCCCGCATTTACGATAGCGAAAGCGCAGAGTTGTTACATAAATATCAAAATTGGCGTGCGTATATTACATCGATTCATCTTACTCTTCCCACAGACAGCAACTTGTCCTATCGAGCGGCACGCAAAAACTTATGAAACACTCATGAATTCTGATTAGCTAATCACAAAGATAGAGAGAGGAAGGCTGACATTATATTGACATAGAGGATAGTACAATGCGTGGACAGGTACTAACACAGCTATTCCAATAGCATTACTTAAATACACGGATTTTTTTCCCTTCCAAGGTTCTATAATCTAGAACAGCGAGATGGGTGGGGTACAAATATCCGACTCGCCAAAATTAAGCATTATGCCAAGTTATTGAAGGCCAAAAACAGGAGAGCCAAAAACAGGAGATTAAGAGAGTAAAAAGCGAAAGATTGGAGGAACTGCTAGAATTGACGAACAAGGTACCCAGAAAAAAAACCCCACACAAGCCAAAACGCAATGGGCAATTAACATGGAGAGAAAGTGGGTGACAGACAAGAAATGATTGAAGGGAAAAATGAAATAAAACTATGGATGTGGCCTGTAATATCAAGCGTGTATGATTTCTGGGTCTTAGATGAGATGAAAACGAATGTGGATGTGAATGATCGGACAATATGAGATGCAAAGGAAGTGCTTTTGCAGGGCTGGAACGCAGCGTGCTATGATGTTTTGCGAGCGCAATGTTGAGAAATGAAAGACGATAGTTCGCTGACAGTATTTGAGAGGGATATGCTGCATGGTGAGATCGAGAGGAGATCAAGGAAATGGGTCGTGAAATAACTTATTTGCGGTTAGGAACAGAGTCCAGAACGCGCGACATCTTCTTTGCACGAGATGGGTCTTCAACAACCATGCCACGGCGCATTAGCGTGCTCTGCACAGTCTCAACGACTTTGTTGAAAGATGAAGCAGCCCCACGCTCCTGTTTGAAGCGGACCAAGCTGAGGTTGGCTTGGTGGCCGTGCTCAAGGACAGTGTAAAATTCAGCAGTGAACTCAACCTCTCGAAGATGGAGGACTAAAGGATGATTAGTATAAGGGTTAAATCGGATGAGATGAGTGACTTACAATTTGCTTCGCCGACACGACCATGAACAATGCTGTTGGCCTTGTCCAGATACACATCCTCCATACCGAAATCCCGCCACTCACGAAGGAGCTTATATAGTTCCTTGCGTCCCTTGACCTTCGATGTGTTCAGCGCAATAACTTGAGTAGCAGGCTTGATGTGGAAAACCCGGGCAAACCAGTTGTAGTTGGCGATTGAGCGACGCTTCTGGCTGAATGGGTTTGGCGGAGCGTCAGCTTCAGTCGAACTGTCGGTATCTGCGAACCCCTTGCACATCAGGGAAGAATGACGATTATCCTGTGTTGGCGTGGTTTGGATGTCTTTCTCCTGGTCTATCAATTGGTTAGAATGTTGGACAGAATTTGCGGAGGTTACACTCACTAGTAAAAGGTTCTTCTATATTTTGGGTGGACCTTTTTGTCAAGAGCTTCTTGAAAAACCCACCGCCAAAGCGATCCATAGATGTCTTTCGTCTTGGCACTCGCTCTGTGTTCTCTGCTTTGGGAAAAGAAGCGGGCTCGATGGTAATGGGATTGTGCACAGTCGTTCCTCCACTGGGCATAATGAGGTGGGTGTCCTTAGGTGGTAGAGCAGGGGGACTATTAGAGCCCTGAGCGCGATGCTTAAACCATGACCATTTCTTTCCTTCAGGAGTAGGGGATGTTGATTTCTTAGGGGACAGAGGAACTTCTTCAATGGGAGCCAGGCCACTAGGTTGACCAGCACGTCGAGAACCAATGGAAAAGTTCCGATCGCCACCCATAGAGTCACCCATAGCAAATTCATCAACATGTGGTGAAGCGAACTTGCTATAGTTCTTCTTCCGAATGGTCAGGGGCTTAACCTCCTCCATGGAGGGAAGTGAGCTGTGGGGAACCATCCGAATAGTTGCCTTAGCATCACCGCCCTGGGAGGTAGTGAGCGACGTCCGTGGCTTTTTCTGAGGTCGAGGGCTGGTTTCACTAGGTGCGCGGACAGGGCTTGCGCAATTCTCATTGGTAATATGAAGGAAGGGCTCATCCGGTGAAGTGACGAAAGGATCTTGCAAAGATGCTACATCCAGCTCTCTCTGTGTACCATTCTTGACCTGGTGTTCTTCAATCAAGCGAGTGAGATGAGTAATTACACCGGAAAGATAATTACCAACGTTGTCCTTTCGGCCACGGCTGTGCTCAATAAGCTTTTGACGTGTCTCGGTAAGCTCCTTGATATTGTAGGATCGAGATGACTCCTTGCCAGTGTTAGATACCGGGATTGTCGGAGTAGGATTAACTTGTTCGGGGCTTGCCATTGAGACTGGCGTCGCCGGTGTTTCGTATCCAGATCTACCGCTCGTGGTTCGAATGGTTCTAACAGAGCTTCCATTGAATGCCTCCTCGCAGATCTGGCTGAGCTCATGGGAGACTTTTCGGCTGTCCTCCCTCCATGTGTAGTCTGTTTCACGAACTTTTCTGACTTGCCCTAGGTTCTTGACCTTCGGACCATTCATTCGGACCACGGTTGGCTGGGCTGGTAGGGGCGGGCTGCTTGGCATGCCCGGAGGATCGAGGCCATCTGCCATAAGTTGCAAGCTGCAGGTGCTCGGTGACCGCTTAATCTCATTTTGCGGAATTGGTACAGCAATCTTTCTCTTCTTTGATTTGGCAGATCCATGAGATCGGTTGCGAGCGTGGTGGAAGGAAACATTGCGCCGATAGCTCATGGAGTGTGTCGACAACCCAGGAGCCCGGGAGCTAGAATGAGGTACCTTGGAAGAGACGAAAGACTTCATAGAGCTGGGCCCGTGCTTACGCTTCTGGAGGACAGTGAATGGTGATTCATCTGGCCCATCCGATCCCTCTGGCTCTTGCTCCTCCGCAATGGAAGGCGGAGGGTTCACTCTTGGCGACGACAGAATAGCTTGAGATTGCTCTGGCGACTCTCGATGGACAGTAATATTAGCATATTGTGCTTCCGACGATGTGCTACCGTGGTTGGGTGACCGGTATGGGTCATAGCTTGCTGTGGTACCGGAGGACATCGGTTCCTTGAAGGAACTGAGCCGACGAGGGAACTCTTTGACAGATGGGAACTGGGCGCGACGCTTGGAGTTACCTTGACCCGTCTGGCTGCGCCCTCGACGAACTCTACCACCTGGGCGGGAGATGTGGTGATAGTCACTAGCTGAGTACTCTAGAGGCTGTCCTTGGTAGTTCTCAAGCTGCTCATCACGAAATTTTGCCAAGGCGTTGTAGAACATCCGCTCATGGGTCGGTCTGGTGGCGGTCTGTTAGCGTAATGCGAGTCGTTCTGAAAATTAGCAGGCGGTACTTACTCGATACATAGAAGCCTTTGAATTAGGTCCTCGGCCTTAACATCATGCCATAAAGTCTGCAAATTGCGAAGGATATCGAGATCAATGTCCTGCTGACAGGACAGGGTTTGGCCGCAGTCCTTCACGGACAGGGCAGGAGGAGGACCGACGTAGTGATCAACCATGGCATTGTGAAGCTTTTCATATTTAGTTAACAATGGATGCAACCAAATGTTCTGCATGGATATCCGGTCCTCCGGGCGCTTTTGGAGGATACGCTGGATGAGATCGGCTGCTTCGTCGCTCAACTCGGGTGGAATTATGTAGTCCCCTTTCTTCACGAGCCGCAGGGTGCTTCCTAAATCACCTCCATCAAAAGGCAAGTAACCAGTCAAAAGGGCATACAGTATGATACCACAGCTCCACATATCAGCTCTGTCGCCACGATATTTCCTGCCATAAATGATTTCCGGTGCTGCATAATGAGGGCTACCACATGAAGTGTTCAGCCAGTGGCCTGCGGGTTGCAGTGCAGCCATACCAAAATCAGCAAGTTTCACATTATGATTCGCATCAAGCAAGATATTTTCGGGCTTCAAATCGCGATGACAGATATTGAAACGATGACAGTAGCCAAGGGCCGCAATGATCTGTCGGAATAGTCGCACGGCCTCTTCTTCCGGCAGTGGGCCATTGTTAGACACATAGTCGAACAACTCTCCACCTTCGACGTGTTCAAGGACAAGGTACCTAGCGACTAGG